GCGATTAGTTTTTTCTTAAAACATATATTTTCGCGATTGGTTTACTTTTTTAGTTGCTTATTTACTTTTTTTCTAATTTAGCTTTTTCTTTTGGCAATTCTTAAAAAGTAATGTTTTCATAGTAAAGTAAGTCACGCAAAGTTTGTCTTTTGAATAGAAGCATGATCTCTGCATAATAGCAAATTAAATCTCTGCTTAGTAGCAAATTAAAAAGACAAAAGTTAAACAGAATTTTTTCTTCATTCTATTTTTTTTAACAAAACAGCATTTTTATCTTTTTTTAAAAAAAAAACGTTGCTCCAAAAAACTTATTAATAATGAATTAAATTATTATTTTATAAACAATTTTATATAATTATTTTTACTACTTTAAGTATAATAAAATATATATTAATTTGTTTTTATTAAATAAAATTTCTATTAGTAAAATTGTACTAATAGAAACCAGCAACTTTTTTGCTTTCACGTTTTTCGCTTTTAACAACCTTGAAACAATTGAAGTTATATTTAGTTAACTTTACTGAATGGATAGAGTATGTCAGAGTAAATTAACTTATAACCTAAACTAAAACAACCAGTTAAGTTAAGATAGTAACTTAAGATAGTTACTCAAGTATTAATTTAACAATTATATTAATTTATTTAATATAATCGCAAAAGTTAGCCATAGACATGTTTCAATTTAGATCTTACATGTTGTTAAAACATAATATAAGCTTTTAACTAATAATTATTTTAACAAAAATTGTTGAATAGAATATGAAAAACGCGACACCATTTTTTTATAATTTCATTTTACTTATAGCAACATCTAGACTAAACATTTTCTATAAATACGCAAGTTGTTTTCAGGAATTTTATTTAAAAAGAAATCTATTTGAACAAGAGAACTTTAGCCTTAAAATTCACTTATTCAAATAATTTTGTGATTGAAATTTGAAATTGAAAAAAAAATTTAAAAATTTAAAAAAAGTTTGATGAAACAAGGGAGAATGAAGATGAAAGTTTTTTTTTCGTAAATCAGAAATTTTGTTAACGTTTTGAATTATATACTTTTTCTTGAAAATAGTTTTAAAAGTAGAAACATTCTATTGCAAACATCAAAGCTGTGATTGCAAATTGCAAGTTAAAATAAAAATTATAAAAATTTTAAATTAAATTTAATAATATTTTACTTCTGTTCGAAAAAATTTTTTTCTAAAAAAATAATTTTACGCATATTCTTACACTTAATATAATTCGATTTATTAAACAAAACTTTTTGTTTCACTTTTTTTTTGGAAAACAATTAGAATAAAAAAAAAAATGAATGAAAACATCAGTTTAAAAACCTTTTGAATGAAAAACTTAATTTGCTTAAATTTTTAATAGTACGCTTGATCAGGAAACGATAATTTATAAAAGACGTGGTATCTAACATTTTTTTGCTTTGATCTTACTCGTTTGGTCTATAGATTACAAACTTGTATAGGTCTATAGGCGCAAATATGAAGTTTTGTTTAAGTTTATTAACTAGCTCAATTTTTTTTGTTTGCTTCCTTTTATTTTAAACGCGTTTTATTTTATAAACTGTATAAATCAAAACGAAACAGCGTCACAAAATTGTTTTACATTATTCCAAGCTCTTTATATTTTTAAAACAACTTTGCAGTTTGTTTTAATGTTGTTTTATAGCTTTTAACAAATAAATACTTTTTTAAATTAACACGTGTTTTAACGTCAGCATGAACGTATTAAATAGTTTTTTTGACTAATTAAAGTGGTTTAGATATTATAATGTTGCTTTTTCTCTTACTTTTTTTACTTTTACTTTTTTAAGTATCATGTTAAGTAAAAATATACTTAAAGAAATATCTTAATAGTATTAAAAACGTTATTGCTTATTACAACTGCAACTTAAACTTTAAGTTATAACTTAAGTTGTAAATAATAACAGTAACTTACGCTATTTTAAACTCTGCCAAACAAGAAAATTATAAGATTATATTTAAATATGAGAGATAATATGTTAAAAATATAACAATTACGTACAAAACTTACAATTATATACTAACGCAACTTCCCTTCCCCCCCCCCACTACCACAAAGTGGCGCAAGGTATAGGGGGGGGGGGGTGATTTTTTTTTTTCGCGAATAGGGAATGGGAATAGCTGCTACATCAACTGAAATTTTGATTTAGCAAGCCATAAGTTTTTTTTCATGAATATTAGTTTTTTTATTCATTTTGTGAAAAAAAAACTTTATGTTTGAGTTAATTTTATAGTTAAACTTGTTTAGTGGTAATTTAATATATTGAGGTAGTTTAAAAAAGTTAATGTTCTTTAAAAAATAATAAAAAAAAAACAAGTCTTGCAAATTTTGAAAAAGGTAAGAATAAAAATATACTTTAAAGATCACAAATGTTTGGAATAAATGTATTAATGGGCATAAGGAAAAGAGCATATGTCTATTTTTTGAATTTTAAGTAATGCAGTTTTAAAGTTTTCAATAACAAACTAATAGGTATTCTGAAACTTTAAGTTTTATTATTATCTATATAGCCTTCAGAATTAGGAAAAATGCTAATAAAATTTGACATAAAAATTTACCATAAAACATTAAAATGAGGTCGGCATTTTTTGTCGATCTCAAATACTTTAAAGTTGGTAGACCTTAATTCTGAGGTCTGTATATAAAATACTTAATATTATACTTAAAATTATTTATGTTTTAATTTAGAGATTTAAGCAATATTCTTTGATCCAAGCATATATAAAGTATATATTTAGGTTTTGCATAAAGTAAATGTGAGGCTGGGTTTCTTTTAAAAACAATAATTTTAAATAAAATCAATGCATTATTTAAATTTAAACTAGCTTGTAACTAACATTCAAATTACCTACAAATGTTAGTTGAAAATAACTCTCGTGGGCACAGATTTTCCTTTAATTAAAAAAAGTTTGCTAATATCCTAGTAATTTAATGTTGAATTTTTTTTTGAATATCAAAACAAGATTTTTTTAAATATTTAAAAAATTTAAAAAGAATACTTAATACTAAAAGAAATTGTTTTATAAAATGCTACTGAAAAATGAAAGTGTTGCTTGTCTCTTTTTATTTGCCTCCATTAAGATCTTTTGATGTTAGATGACTTTATAACAATTCAATATAAGAAAAAAAATGTGCCAATGCACAATTAATAATTTTACATTTATTTAAAAATAAATTGATTGCAATGACTTCGCATCTGCAAGAAAAAGCAACGAAAAAAAAAAAAAAAAAAAAATGAAAAAATTGAATGAAAAAAACAAACAAAAACAAATTACAGTTATGAGAGAAAACATTCTCAGTAACATACAAAAATTTTAAATAATAATCTTATATCTCAGTAAAATCATTTTAAAAACTGCTAATAATAATTAGTCATTAATAAAGTTATTAATAACTATTATCAACTCTCCTGTGCAGATTATTTAATTTGGATAGTTAGTACTAATTCGGTTAATAATCGTTATATAATCGATATAAATCATTATATAATTGTTTTATGAAACACTACTATAAAAATTATTTATGTTACATACAACAAGTTTTTACAAAATATATATATTTTTAACAACCTTATTATAGAAAATTTAAATTTATCTATAAATCCTTTATTTATCTATTACATTCAAAAGTAAAACTTACAGAAAAATAAAAAGATTTGAAGAAGAAAAAAAAGTGAATAAGTATAGTTAAATGAAAAAATGTTCTTAGTTAAATACAGCAATAATTATATATTTTTATATTATTATGAAATATATTAAATACTTTTATTAAAATAATAATAAAATAAGAACTTTAATCATTCATGAACAAAAGGATTTTTACCACCAGTAAAATGAAATTAAATTAAATAAGTGAAGCAAAAAAAAAAAAGCAACAGTTAACGTCTTATATTCAACAAAAAAGCAAACTAACCAAAGTAGCATATTGTAAACAATAAAACTATTTTAAAAACTTTTTTAAAATATAAATAGTTTTATAAAACTTTAGTACTTGCATTTTCCAAATTACATCGTGGTTTATTTGTAAAACCTTGTTTTTCTAAACATAGGAAAGATTTTTTTTCAACCGGTCAAACATGACCAGCAAGAATTCATTTTGGGATGTCAAAATAGCTATTTTAGTCATTTCAGACGGTTGTTGACAGTTGACCAGTTGCAAATGTGTGTGTATATATATATATATATATATATATATATATATATATATATATATATATATATATATATTTTTTTTTTTTTTAAAGTTTAGAGTTTTCATATAAATATGTGGTAGTGGTGTAGTGGTACATTGGTAGAACACTCGCTTAGATAAGCGAGAAATTCCAGGTTCAATCCCCACCTTGCCCCTGTTACTATATATATATATATATATATATATATATATATATATATATATATATATATATATATATATATATATATATATATATATTACACATTTTTTTGTTTTGGACAAAACAATATTTTAAATTAAAGTATGTTAGTACTAAAATATCAAAAAAATATATACAACTTGAAATTTTCAAAAAGTGTTTTTACTCGAGTGGTCTTCAGGGCCGTCCCGAAGAGGTCTTCCATGGAGGAGGGGGGGGGGAAGTATTTTTTTGCAAAATGTCAACTATATTAATAAATATAGTAGGCAAAATGTCAACTCAAAAAGCATTTCAGTTGGCACATTGAGCAAAACTTGCTCAATGTGCTAACTCAAATGCTTATATGACAGCTTTGAGGAAGGGGGGAACACCTCAACGCCCCCCCCCCCTTCAACCCTGGTGGTCTTTATATATATATATATATATATATATATATATATATATATATATATATATATATATATATATATATATACACACACTTTAGATTTACAGTACAGTAAATACAGTATGTATGTATTTATGTGTACGCATGCTTGTTAGAACATGCAAATGTGTATAATATCTGCATTAAACAAAAAAAATTATTCAATTTTACACTAATTCCCATCGATTAGCTGAAAACATCAAATGAACTGCTTTATCATGAAGCTCATTTTTTTTGGTAATATAACCATTTATTATTTGACCAATAGCAGTTGATCTTTCTAAATTAATAAAAACTATAATTATAAACAATACAGAATAAGAGTATTTTTGAAGAATGTTTTAAGAAAAGTCTTTTTTTTATGAAAAGAAAAATCATTTTCAATATCAACTTAAAAATATGAAAACATAAATAAAGCCATTAAAAGTAAATATTTACCCGGAAATCTCCAAAGCTCAGTTTTTTTGCCGAGACTGTTCAAATAATCAACTAGCAGTCGGCATTGAGTCGATTTTCCGCTTTTATCACAACCTTCTAATACCACAAATGCTCCACGTCCCATTTTGAAAAACAATATAAAATTTGCTTAAAATCAAAATTTTTTTACCAGTAAATAATGTAAATTAGACTTCAAAATTCTTAACTATCTAATTTGTAATAATTATGTCATTATAACATGTCATTATGCTACAACACGTCTTAAATGCTATTATACAACTTTATAAAATATTAGTTCTCAGACTTGCCAATATCCTATAGTTTACACATAAAAGAACAGGGAAAATAATGAAAACTCTAATTTCAAAGCATTAAAAAAGCATAGAAAAAAATCCCAGATTTAATATTGAATAAAAAACTTATTTAGATACTAAAAAATTGATTATTTAAAAAAAATTTTCCTAATAATTTTATGTTCATGCTTTAAATAATTTAATAGAAATCATTTTGCCACAAAATTAGGACTCATTCCAATTTGTTAAACAAAATACAATTAAATATAAACTATACTAATATTGCTTCAAATTTATTAACTGCTTTTAACATACTGTTTAAAGCAGATTTAAAAGGTTTGTAGACCTAATGAAATGTGATTATCTTTCCAATGTTGTGAATCCAACAAAAAAGAGTTGCCTATTAATTGATTTGTGAAATAATTGAAATTATCTGTCTTATTTTTTGGAGAAATTAAATTTTTTTTTTAATATTTCAATACAAATTAAATAACAAAACTCATAGTTTAATAACAAAGCAATAATAAATTAAATTTATTGCAAAACTAATCTATTGAAAAAATTTAAATGCAGATTAAAGATTTATCTTTGAAAAACTCAAAACAAATTAATTACAACCTAATAATTATTATCATATCAAACTGTTGATTTAAAAACACATTAATAAAATAAATATTATTCATTACAGATTTATAGTTATTAAATTCAAAGTTTATTAAAAAGTAAAATTTAATTTAGTATTGCAAAATTAAATGCAAACTATGCTTGAAACTCAGTCAACATATTAGAATCTAACAAAAAATTCTCCACATCTGAAGGATGAAAGTCAGTGTCAAGTTTATCTTGCATACTGAAAAAATTACCAATCAAGTTTCCATCTTTATAAACTTGTATAGTAGGAAGAGCTTTCATCTGAAAATTTAAACTCAGTCCAGTTTCTTTTGCCAAAACTTTTGAAAATTGGATATAAGGATATTGTACGGCTAGGTACTCAAAACATTTGTTCATTGTTACACATGCACTAACTTTAGGATCATAAAGATGAACAACAAGTATTTCATCCTTGCAAGGATTTTCTAGTTTTTCAAGTAAGCCTTCTCCACTCATATCAAACAACTTTGAATACTTGGTACCATTAGTTTTTGATTCTTTTTCTAATAAATGAAGCCGTTTTTTGTGGTAGCTTTTCAAAAAATCTTCATCATCATCATCAAAATTGTCATTTTTAATGTCAAGTTTGTTAGGTTCCTCCTCAACATTCGCAAATTTGTTTGGATCTGCAATAAATGATTTTTTTTTAATTTCTTCAATGTACTTTAACTTACTTACCTCTTTTTCATGTTCAACCACTGCAGAATGTCGTCGATAATCTGCTATAACACCCTTAGGACCAGTTTGAGGAGCTGTTGAAGAATAACTACTTCTAGTTAAATTCTTTTCTCCTTCATTTTCAAGATCTGACATATAAGTATTTTCCATGGATTGGATATCAAAATTTGTGATAATCAATCTAAATAAATAAAAATAAATTAAAAAACATAAAATAATTAAATATGCAAACAATTATAAAAAAAAAAATTAATATTCATTATTTTAATAAATATTTACTAAATATAAAACTTGTGTTTGTTTTGTAATTTTTTAAAAACAATAAATTTAGAGGTTTAATCTTTTAATAAAAAGAGTCGCAAATTTTATTTTTATTTTTTATCATTTTATTTTACTTAATAATAACAATCGAAAAAATATTTTTGCTTTAATAAAGCAAAAGAAAATTTTATTGTCATTTCAATTAAACACATTTGCATAGTCTATACAGATGTACTTTAAATGAAATGACTGGTGATCACACAAGTGACAGTATTTTTCGATTAAATTCATAGTGGGACAATCCCAACTGTCGCGTTAATTTTTAACTTATTTTTCTGTATTTCTTTGGAAGTTTTAACATAAAATTGGAGTTTCTTGAGGTTCGTTATTTATGTTCATAAATCTTTATAGAGTTTATTATGTCAAATATAAATATATACATATATTGTTTGCCTTGTTAAAACGTTAGCCAATATAATAGATTAACTAACATTTTTACGAATGAACATATTATATCCTCATTCGCATATATTTCATATCACAAATGTAAATGTATCATATAATAACTGATGCATATGATTACAGTGTTCACTTATATGCGTCAATCAACAAATCTACTTTAAAGCTTGGTTTCCAATAATTGCAGAAATGCTGGACAATAATTGTTGTAGAATTAGGTTTTTTTATACTTCCTTAACAACTGTTTAGCAAAATAAGTTTTGTTGTACAACCAACGTTAAGTTGTGCAGCTTGAGCTTGATAATGTGTTAGTTATATAACAAATTTGTCTATGCTATCGTGCAACTATCGTGCGACTTCAGCACGACATGCGTACAATTATTAGAAACCAAGCTTTATTTAATTTTACGCGTCAGCCGGTTATTAAAAACTGGGATGTTGATTACTTTTATATTTAATGCAATACATATATCCTAAATTCAATCCCAATACGCCTTAAAAAAAGTTTAAACAACGTCTTCAAAAACTCACGACAACTTAAATAAACAACGTCTTTCAGGATGTCTAGACGTCTTTAACTCGTCTTTTAATCAGGGCCGGCGCGACTAGGTGTCACGTGGGGGGGGGGGTGTGCCATTACAACTTTTGCCGACTAAAAAAAAAAAAAAAAAGGTCTCCTTTTTCTAAAATTTGCCGACTGCCATTACGACATTTGCCGACTGTCTAACCTATATCGAAAGGGTCGACATTTGCCGACTAACTAGTCTAAAAGGGTCCGATTTGCCGACTAAGGGTCCAGTTTGCCGACTAAAAATCATTAATGGCGGGGTGTCACACCCCCCACACCCCTATCGCGCCGGCCTTGCTTCTAATTATCTTTTTGACGTCGTTCAAACCTCAAAGTTTTCGTATCTTTTCTTTATTTTAAAATAGAGATTATTTTGTTCTTTTGAGCAAGGACGTTTTAATAGATGGACGTTTAACGTATTGTTTAAAAGCCAAGATATCCGCGCTATTCATTGTTACAAATAACAATAGCAAAACAATAGAGAACTATTGTTAACTTGAGAATATTTTTACTTGATTTTACGTCAAAATAACGATAGCATCGTCTAGCCTTTCCATTACACCTAAAAAATCTAAAAAGTTTTTAAATAAATAAAACCTTTTCATAATATGATCTATAAACTCAAGCGAAATCTTTATATGGAAAAAAAGAGTTAATCACAGAAAAATATTAAAACAAAATTGTAAGTGAGACAAAATTTCCGACAAAAATGAGAAATTTAAATACTTAAAATAATAGTGAAAACTAAGTGTAGGGAATAGAGACCACAAGTAATCTATAGTTCGATCTATATATGATCTACAGTTTTACCTACAACATCTAGAAAATTCGTTTCACTTTGCAGTATTCATTCTTGCAAACTAAATATCACTTTTTTACAAAAATATGATTTTTGAAGTCTAAGTTTTATTAATATTAAAAAACGCTCACGTATCAAATTTGACATTTTAAAACAGATGAGCTATTTCTGTATAACTATTATGCATTAATTTTTAAAAAATGTTAGAGTTTTGTAGGTAATTTTACTTTTTAAAAAAAGTAGTTAGAAAAGCGAAGTTATCGGAAAAACGTCGGTTTACTTTTATATATTATTCAGAAAAATGACGCTAAAAATTATAGCTCGCATAGGTTTTTGATTACTTGCGGCGCCTCAGATCTATAACAATGGGTTAAACGTCCATCTATTAATACGTCCTTGTTTTGTGTTAAGGAATTTTCTTCTTGTATTTTGATGTTTTTGAAAATTTAAATATTTATAAAAATCCGACCTATATGTTTATTAAGACCCCCTTTTTACTAAGTTTAGAATAGCGGTAACGAATTGGTTAGCGCACTTGCCTCAGAACCTGCTAATACTAATCCGTAGTTCAACGCCACCTCTGAACAAGGTTTATAACATTGCTAAGGAAAAGCGTGAACTTTCTTTCAAATGCTATTCCGCAATGTTCTGAGATAAGACCGTAAGGACTTAATGGGGCACCTAAAATTAAAAACTATATATATATATATATATATATATATATATATATATATATATATATATATATATATATATATATATATATATATATATATATATATATATATATATATATATATATATATATATATATATATATCCTAAATAAAAGTACTCTTTTGTTTTTATCTGAACCGTTCGACACAGACAAACAATTGATACACAATTTAGATGACAAAATTGGCTCATTTGTTTATTTTGAATCATTAAAACTACAATATAATGGTAAGGGGCTGTATGTCATGGAACGGAGCTAATAATTCTGAATTTATCAAATATACCATGAATTTAGATATGTACATTAATATTTTGAACAATAATTTGACTTTATCAGCTCGTAAATTGAGATAAGGTAGAAGTTTTATGCTTCAACATGACAATGATCCAAAAATAAGTCGAAAAAAACAACAGATTTTTTACAAGTCAAATCCATAAATGTTCTTAAATAGCCAGCACAAGGTCCAGATATAAATCCTACCAAAAATTTATGGTCAATTTTAGATAAACAAATAAGTAACCATCACCTGAAACGAAAGGAAGAACTTGAAATTTATTTTCATAAAACGTCAATGATTTAGATTTAGTTTTTTTCAAGGAGTTGTAATTCAAAACTCTTTGAAACAAAGTTTTGTCATAAATTTTGTACTGTAGGCAAATACGTTCCATCTTGAAATCGTTCTATATTTTGAAATTTCCGGTCCTCAAATTATTATAACTCGTATGTATTATTATCTGCTATTTTACAGGTTGGTACGAAGGAGAGAAGCACGCCATGAAGTTTGCTATCCCGCGAATTTAGCGAGAACCGATTGACCACTCAAATAACTACTACTTCTGCATGGTAAACCCAAAAAATCGTCGCACCGGCAAAAATACCCCTTAGATCGTTTATCTGAACATACCTTTTTCCATCGCCCCAGTACCACACAGCCCCAATTTGCCAGTCTCCTAGGCAGCATCAACCATCTTCAAAAGATAGCATCAAGTCAGCGAGCCATATATTGGAGATATGGACTACAATTCTGCTTATGAAATTGGCGATAGAAAGTCGTACTTCCCTAGCCAGAATAATGTGAACAATTTAATTAGGGACCTCGGGTTAACGAAATCGAATGGTGAGCTTCTGATATCCAGTTTCAAACAGTGGAAATTATTTGATGATAGCGCACAAGTCACGGATCAAAATTAGTGGAATCAAAGATTCTCCAACTTCTTCGGTCAGCGTGATGGTCTGTGTTTCTGCAACGATGTTGCCAGTCTAACACAGGCAATATGTATTCATGAAATCCTATCGAACGGCGTCTATTCATAGAAAGTTCATCCTCGAACCTCAAAGACATATTGTTTCACAATGGAAACAACTACCCATCACTTCCAATGACCCATCCTGTGCTTCTCAAAGAAGACTACACCAGTGTCAAAATGTTGCTGAATGCATTAAAGTCAGACGACTACCGATGGAAGGTCATTGGTGACTTCAAAATGGTATTCCTCATGGGTCTTCAAGGAGGTTTCACTAAATTTCCTTATTTTCTCTGTCTTTTGAATAGCCGTGACACAATGGCGCATTATCGCACAATGGACTAGCCACAACAATCAAGTTTTCTGATGGGAAGATCAATGTGAAGTGGGAGCTGCTGATAGAGCCTTGTAAAGTGTTTATGCTTTTGCTTCACGTCATTACCAAAGACATTATAATTAAAACATGATGGGGGACTAAGTTTGAGGGCTACTTCAAAAGTGTGATTTACAGCACAATTGTAAATCTAGAAAATTTAAACATTTCTGAACCTTGTTAAATGATTTAAGACTGAGTTTGTTTATTCCTTGTGCAATTTTTGTTTTTACCTAATCATATTAACAAAAATGAAAAAAAAAATTGTTCTATTTTCACAAAAAAACAAGTTTTCTTTGTACTGTTGTCATGTAAGCAAAATTTACTCTTAAGTCATTTTTTTTTACATTCTTTAGACATAAGCAATTCTTTAGACATAAGCAAAATAACACTTAGAAGTAAAGAACAAAAATTGTGTTACATATGTTAGATAGTGTAATCATCAGCTGTTTATGGGTAATTGGCATTGGTAGTTTGTTCTTCGTAACTAATAGCTTATTGAAAATGGAATAACTCGACATTTTTTGTTTCCTCGGCAAGCTAGGTTTTTTAATTGACTCAATTGAACTTCTTGCTTTCTTAACCACATTTCTAACTATAATTAAAAAGTAATATTTGAAAAAATATATTACCGGCTGGTAGTAAAGTTTCCGAACTCTATGGTAGAACTCTATGGTCTCAAATAGGCTGATTCCATCAACCGCTGCAAATTATAAGCGTATTCGCAGTGCAAAGTTGTGCATGGATAATGTCCCTGTTAATGCTTTTGGTTTGCATTGTCATGGACACATAAGGACCCCTATGTTACGACTTAGGCTTAAATAATTACTAAGAAAATTGCTCATTGCTTAGGAGGCCGTACTCTATCTATGAATGAGTTAAGTTCATTTTGAACTTAAAACACGCCAAAAGTAACCAAAAATATTAAATACAAAAAAATATCCCCACCACCTAGCTGTTTAAATATATCTTTTACAAATATATGTGGTCTGCGAAGCAACCTTACATTATTTGATTTTTTTCTTTTGTAAAATTCACTAGACTTGCTTACTCTTAATTTAAATTCTGCTATTCCTTCTTTTAATTGTATGTTGATAGGTACAAATTTGATTCGCAAAGACTCTATTAGTCACATGCTTGGCTTAGGGTTATACATACGCATCAATTCACCTATTTATCGTAAAATTAGGTTCGAATCCTTTGACCATTCTTTTATGTGCTTTTGCTTAGCACCTCTTCACTCTATCACCTTTCTCTTTGTTCTTTATTGTTCTCCATCTTCCCAAGACTGCACTCTTTTAAATGAAAATTCTAATCAAATTGACATTGCCCTCTCTCTTTACCTCTCTCCCAATATTGTGGTTATTGGTGACTTTATTGCTCATTACACTAGTCACAATGGCCCGGCTCTAACGCCACTGTCCCTGCCAGCACTAAATCCTATATGTACTGAATCTTTCATCTTGCACTTCCTTTTCGGACTCACCCTAAAGCTGACTGGAATTCTTTTCGTGATTTTCTTTGTGACGGTCCTTTGTGATGTATTTTCCCTCTCAGCTGAAAAATGCACCTTCTACGTAATTTTCTGGATTCAGGTAGAAATTAAAACTTTTATTCCTTATTATCAATTCCAAGTCAAGCCTCATTCTGTTCCATGG